CCCCTCCCATCCATTCTCCATCACTCCTCTACTTAAACTTCTCAATGGCTTCCCTTTATGTTTGGGTTCAAATTCAAAATCCCTAGCCTGGTCCAATAAATCTCTTCATGGGCCGCCCTCTGCAGTCCTGTCTCCCTGCACACTCACCACCAGCAATACTGGTTTTCTTCCAGTTCCTTGACGGCACCATACCCTTCCCTTCTCAAGCTAAAAGAAAAAAAAATTATTTGTATTTTCTTCCCCTCCCAAAATGCCCCTTCGCCCACCCCCCACTCCCTTGCCTAGCAATCTCTTTCTCATCTTTCCGGTATCAGCTTAATGTCATTTCTTCAAAAGAATTGCCTTAATCTAAATTAGGTCCTCACCTAATAGCTTCCTGTTCCTTCCTTCCTTAATTTTTAACACGATTTATAATTTTATGCTTATTTGCTTAAAGCTCAACTCCCCAATAAACAATAAGTTCCATGAGAGTTGAGAAGGCATCTATTTTCTTCCCCTTGGTACGACCTGCCACTAACGCAATGCCTGGCACATAATAGGTGTTCATTGGATCCAAAAAAAAAAGTGTTGGGCACTAGGCTTAGAACCTGGGTGACAAAATAATCTGCACAGCAAACCCCTGTGATACAAGTTTACCTATATAACAAACCTGCACATGTATCCCTGAACCTAAAATAAACGTTTTAAAAAATAGGTACTCGTTAAATATTTCTTGACTGAACAAATGAGTGAATGAATGAATGACACCTGATAGCAGAACTGTGGCCAAAATTTTATTTTGCTATTAATTCGAAATCCTGCAAAGAATTTGTAAGAAGACAAAGACATTAAAGACAGATTTTGCATTGTTTGGTTTTCATTTCTCTACCTGACCTTAAGATAATCATGTACTGAAAGGACCACCGCACTGAGACGCAAGGTGCGTTCTGGGCCTTGTCCATCCAGTTTCACACTGTGTATCCTTGAACTGTTCTTCTGTTTCCTTATCTTTAAAACAGGGAAAGGAAACCTCTCTCTTCCTAATTCCTAGCTTCATTGTAAGGTTCAAATGAGATCATATACAAGAAATCCCTTTGGAAGCTGTAAAGCAGCATATCAATGTAAGGCCATCATGTCTTTGTACTAATCACACTCTGTAACTTCACAAAAATAAATGCTGATGCTGCTTGTTTGCAGAGGTTTAATCGTTTCCACCTGAGGACAGCAGGGACCCAGGCTGGAGAGGAGGTTCCGCCCCTGCGCGGTGAGATCCATATGTAGACGAGCCCTGCCCCCTGGTGGAAGGAGATGGGGTGAGTGTGGCTGGCAACGTGGGATGGCCGGGGTCCTAATGACAGATGCTGGCTGAAAAGGAGAATCCACTTATTTAAGCATATACTTTTTAAAGAAATAGTTTGTCATTTTTTCTTTTTGTTGTTTTCATTTGTTTTTAAATTAACCAATTAAAATTGTATATATTTATGTTGTACAACATGATGTTTTAAAATATGTGTACTTTTTAAAGAAAACAAAAAAACCCAGTATGATGTTGTAAAATATGTATACATTTTTAAAGAAAAAAAACCCAGCTTTCTTTTGATGAAGAAAAGTTTTTAAAAAAGACAAAAAATGTGTACATTGTGGAATGGCTCAAAGTAATTAACACATGCATTACGCCATATCTGTTTCATTTTTTGTAGTGAAAACACTTAAAATCTACTCTCTTAGCAATTTTCAAGTACGCAATGCATTGTTGTTTCTTTTCTTGTAAAATGGCCTTTGGAAACATTTTATTTACTTATAAAGGATGCAGACACGTTTCACCAATGACTTGTCTAATTATTATTTGGAGTTTAGTGATAAATGAGAGATTTACAATTCTTTATATATTTTGATATTCTAATTCGTTATATTTAAATCTCAACAATTCAATTAGAATCATTTTACAACTCATGCATGTTAAGATTATAGATCGTGTGTACTAGAAAATTTCAGCTTATATACTTCCCTATATGTTATGTGCATTTTATTTAACTTTGTTATACTGTGAATATTGTGTACATACTGGACAAATGAGTCCTAATTTTGTAATATCTAGTCTCCAGATATTAAAGAGGTTACCAATGTTTAAAAAATAGACTACAAATGGCAACATATAAAGTATTTGTATGAGCATGCATCATAGAGTAATTATTTATGTCTAAATATGTTCACGGTGCCAGAATACCAAGGTCAACTTGAACATATGCCAGGTTTTCATCTGGCCTATCCCTCACAACTCTGAGCAAATTGTTCAACATTTCTGGGTCTCAGTTGCCCTCAACTGCCAAATAAGGGACTCAATTAGGTGATGTCTAAGGCTCTTTGCAACTCTAAAAATATCCTACAACTTTGTCCAGAAAACGCATTTTAGAGGCCACACACGAGCCGCCCTCAGCACCAGCTAATTAGGCTCCAGACTGCTTAGGCCAAGGCACTTCCAGGGGACTACCACTGACTATTCTGGTGGCAAAACAATTTTATACTTGTCGTCACTCCCTGAACCCAGTCAAATCCAACCAAGTGGACTCAAAACCAGTCACATCCAACCAAGTGCCTCCTGCCTCTTTTCCCTCCTTTTTCCTGCCCTGCCAACCCTCTTCATCCCCACCCTCTACAGCCATGGCCTCAAGAGGAAGGAGGCCTCTCCCTGCACACCTCTCCTTCTCTTCCAGCCTGATATCCCAGCCCTCCACATTCACACACCCAGTAAGGAACAACAACAACAGTAATAATAATGGCTGCCATGCATTGACAGTTTTCCATTTGCCAGGCACTGCACTAAACATAATCTCATTTAGTTTTTCAACAGGTGTATGAGGTGGAAACTCTTTTTATCCATATTTTGACAATTACATGAACATTTTCTGCAGACTTCTCTGCAAAATAGTTCAATTGAAATGATTTTTTAATAGCATTAACCACTTTCTGGTGAATTGCCCTAACAAGTTTTTCTATCAGAAACGTATCCTTCATCCTCCATCTACATTCCCATCTCTCTCCCCTTCCTCTCATTTTCTCCCACGTCTTCTCCTCTCCATCCACCTTCTTCACCTCCATCTCCTCTTCTGCTCCCACTTCCACACACCTAACATAAGGACTTCAAGGCAGAGTCTGTGTTCTCTAGATTTCCAATGCCACATCTAGCTTTGTGCCACTTAATTCTTATGCTAAGACTCCTCTTTTGAGGCAAATGCCATTCAACAGCCCCTCACCACACACACTCCCCTCTGCCTCATTGTCCAAAAACCTTGACACTGGCTCACAGCCCACTTCCCTCTCGTCTCCTGCCATCATGAGAAAGTTCATGCCTTTATAGATGGTCCATTTAACGTCATAGACAGATAGTTCCTGACCTCCTACTCTCTTGCCTTTCAGGTCCAATCCACTTCTGACTTCTTGTTCCAGTGACTGTTGGTCCAGTCCCATGACTACTCTCTGGACTTTGGTGACACCTGGAGTTGTGCTTACTTTAAAATTCTAAATTCTGGTTTCCACTATCCAACTTTAGCCTGTCATCCTTCACCTTTATCAATCTCCCCCTCACACTCTGCCTGCTCCGTGACCTCATAAGGATGCCCAATGACTCACCCTCTGCCCTTTTCTTCAGTCCATCTGTCCCTCTGGTTTTGCTTTCTTCTTGCTATATGATCATAGAGTCAATCGCCTCAACCGTTTTCTCAAGAACACCAGAAACTTCTTTGCCACTGTTTCCTTCTTCTGGACCTGTCTTCAAATCCCAAAACCCACATCAGTCTGATCATCATCCTTTCTATTCCTGCACCAGGATTACTTCCAAACATGCAGTTGAACGTCATTACAAATGAGAGCTGGACCTCCAATTTTCTTTTACTCATTGCTAGTCAAGTATTTTTCCAGTTCAGTGTACATATTATAAACAGTCATTCTTTCTATCAGCCACCTTCATCTGGAACATTCTAGCAACCCTTCAAATCCAGTTGGTCCAAACCTAAACTCAGTGTCTTCCTCCTCCTCTATTCCCCATCTCAGTGAATATTATGAATTCCCAGAATCTAAAATTAATTACCTAAGAGTTATCCCCAATTCTGCCTTATTCCCTACTCTCCAAATTCAATCATATTACCATATGCTCTCAAAGCCATCTTCTCTGCATCCCCACTGCCTTCATTCTTCTCACCTGGACCATTGTTCCAACCTTGCAATTGTCCACCTTGTTTCATTTCAACATGATCATGTTGCCCTCTGCTTTTTACTTAGGATTCATTACAAACTCTTTAGACCAGCACAGAAGACTAACCATGAGCCAGCCCCTGTCTGAACCTGGCAATAGATTTCTTAAAGATGGTAATCGTGCATTTTTCATTTCTGCACTTAGTTAACACTACGTCTTTCATTTTAGCACTTAGCATAGAGCACCAGACATCATAACCATGCTATTTTAAACAAAATAACAGGTCAATATTTGTGTCATTGTCCAAGATAATAAACAGATGTTACAATTATGGTAGGAACAGAGATGTCGCTAGTCTCTGTTTTCTAAATAACACATTTTTTCTGGTGGGATAAAATATTTGTTTCTGTAGTTAGCAGTCCTTTATACCCCTCAGTGGTAATTGAGACCCTACTGTACCTCACAGAACTCTATCATAATCTTACTTAACTTTATAAAAACTTTGATAATACCTGGCGCCAGATAATGATAGTACATGCCTAGGGTCTAGATGAAAGTAAAGGATTACTCACTCAAAATTAGAAGTTAAATGAATAAACTTAATATAGAACAAACCCTATTATATTTAAGATAAGAAATAGCCCAAAGCAACACCTAGGGATGTTATTAGACATTAATTATTTTTAAAATCACTCAATTATACATAATTTTATGCTAATCTAAGTGATGCCATTTTTCTTTTGGCATATATAACTCAAATAGGAACGCCCCAATAATTGTATATAAAAGCCCAAAGAAATCATCAGTGCGTGATATTTTGTTCTCCTGGGACGTTACAGTTTCACACAGACAAGGTGGACATTTCTCAAAACACCATGTCTCTCCGATTTTCTAATGGATCCAGGCATGTTTGCTTAAGGTCTGCAGCTGGATCTGTCAGACCACCCAATGGAGGTGCAGGCTTTGCGGGCAGCAGTGCATGTGGCAGCTCTGTTGCTGGAAGTGAATTTTCCTGTGCATTGGGAGGGGGATTGGGCAGCGTTCCTGGTGGGAGCCATGCTGGTGGTGCCCTTGGAAATGCTGCTTGCATTGGCTTTGCTGGAAGTGAAGGGGGACTCCTCTCTGGAAATGAGAAGGTGACCATGCAAAATCTTAATGACCGCTTGGCATCCTACCTGGATAACGTGCGAGCTCTCGAGGAGGCAAATGCTGAATTAGAGAGAAAAATCAAGGGTTGGTATGAAAAATACGGACCTGGATCTTGCCGTGGACTTGATCATGACTATAGCAGATATCACCTAACAATTGAGGATCTTAAGAATAAGGTGAGAAATCACAGATTTGGAACTATCCCAAGTATTTAAAACTAAGAAATACCTAGCAAAAGACATACAATAAGAAATGTTTTATGACTGTTATCTGTAACTTGTATTTATTTATGTAAACAATTCTTCCTATTATTCAAATATGGGCCCTTGGATTCATGAGTTTTAATGTAGTTAAAATGTTATTAGTTCCACTGTTTATGTTGAAGTACATTCATAGACATATGAATAAAAAAGTATTGTAGTTCTAAAGTTAGGTGAATACATGAGAATAAATAAAACCATGTCTTTAATTTTTAAAAGTTACATTTAAAACATTTTGATTATTACATAAGGAAGTGAGATTTTTATGCAAAACCTTGAGTACCTTCTTCATTTCCTGAAATAATGAATTACATAAAAGCATACTTACTTGTTGTGTTCTCTGTTTTGGTTTATTCTAGATTATCTCCTCCACTACTACTAATGCTAATGTCATTCTGCAGATTGATAATGCCAGACTGGCTGCTGATGATTTCAGGCTAAAGTAAGTGACAGAAAAAATCCTGCTCTAGAAAAAAGTTTCTATTTATTTAATTCGTTAAATAAAATTTCAATTTCATCCCAAGTAGAATGAACTATCAACTAAAAGATAAAAGGAAGCAAAGGATTTGTATTATAATGTTACAATCAACTTATACATAGTTATTATATTCCTGGGACAAAATATCAATATATTTCTCTGCCTGCCTAGAATACTGCCAAGCACAAAGTCGATGCTCAGTAGTCATTGGTCATTAGTCAATTAGTAAATCATTAGTCAACTAAGGAAAAACATTAACTAAAATAAAATTCCAAAACGGTGTATTTTTATTTAACTAGGTTATGCTATTGGAATTTGTGTGATGAAATAACAGCCAATTATCCAGTACAGAATTGGGTGGGGGTAATGGAGGAGGGCTTTCTTCATGTATTTTTATACTACTTAGAGTCCGAATTCAATTTCTAATTTTCAGTTTAAAGCAATTGGGATTGAATATTTCTGTTTCTTGAGGTAGTCTTACTGGCACTGAAATTCACTTAAATGCCCCCCCAAGGTATGAAAATGAGCTCACCCTTCACCAAAATGTAGAGGCTGATATCAACGGATTACGGCGAGTCCTGGACGAGCTGACACTCTGCAGGACTGACCAGGAGCTGCAATATGAGTCTCTGAGTGAGGAGATGACATATCTCAAGAAGAACCATGAAGAGGTAGGAGAAGCTTTACCTGTAGTCCAATCACAATTCTGTACATTTTAAACTGGGCAGGGGTTGGGGTTAAAAATCGCAATAGTAATTCAGGTTAATTGTTAACATTTGCCAACGGATATAGACAGATTAGTCTAATAATACTACCTACCACGAGGGGATGTTAAAAGCCTTCAATGAGTTAATACATGTCACATGCTAAGAACAGTGCCTGGCATATAATAATCACTCAATAAATGACAGCGGTCATCCCTAGGATTAATGCCTATGAGGGCCAGGATTTCAGGATTTTTTCCACTGTTCTATTCCCATCAACCTGACATTTAGTCAGTAACCATATGTTAAGTAACTCTCTGGTCTTTAAATCCCTTTTTCGTTTAAAAGAATAACTAACTTCTCTTGGGGTGCTATGACTGTTTTTGGTGATGGTGGTGATTTTAATTAACAGGTCCCTAATTTTTGTTGTTGTTTGTTTTCTTTTGTTTTGAGACAGAGTCCCACTCCGTCATCAGGCTGGAGTGCAGTGGCGCAATCTCGGCTCACTGTAACCTCCACCTGCCAGGTTCAAGCAATTCTCCTGCCTTAGCCTCTGGAGTAGCTGGGACTACAGGCGCACACCATCACGCCTGGCTAATTTTTGCATTTGTAGTAGAGAAGGGTTTTCGCCATGTTAGCCAGGCTGGTCTGGAACTCTTGACTTCAAGTGATCCGCCCGCCTCAGCCTCCCAAAGTGCTGGGATTACAGGAGTGAGCCACCGCGCCCAGCCAACAGGTCACTAATTAAATAGATGATTGGCATGAATATGGACCGAATATGTCAATTAAAAAATTGTATGCCATAAATTATACACCTGACCACAAACTTTGAGACATAAAGTAACACGTTTGAAAACTTCTCAGACTGAGTGTGAACCTGCAATGCCCCTAAAGCCACGCTCTTGCTTCCCTCCAGGAGATGAAGGCTTTGCAGTGCGCGGCTGGGGGCAACGTGAACGTGGAGATGAACGCGGCCCCCGGGGTAGACCTCACGGTTTTGTTGAACAACATGCGAGCGGAGTACGAAGCCCTTGCAGAGCAGAACCGCAAGGACGCGGAGGCCTGGTTCAATGAGAAGGTGAGGTGGGCCCCCTCCCCGTGCCCACACCTCCCGGGCGGGTGGGGACTCCGTGTGACCCTTTTGCCCGGCCCTGCAGAGCGCCTCGCTGCAGCAGCAGATCTCCCACGACGCAGGCGCAGCCACCTCCGCCCGGAGCCAGCTCACCGAGATGAGGCGCACCCTGCAGACCCTGGAGATTCAGCTGCAGTCCCTAATGGCCACGGTAGGTAACAGCGAAGGTCAGCCTGGATCCTGTGATTCTAGAAAGCCTCCGAGAAGCACCTCCCTCTGCCCTTTCCTCTTTTTACTATTACACCTTTGCCTGCAAATACTTAGCAGAGAGTGGAGGAGAACAGGAAAAAAAGATCGGTAGACCCTCAAAATAGAGCTTTTTCTTCCTCCTTGACATCACTGGGGATTTCCTTCCTGGCTGATGCTTAATGCTCATTTCATGAAAATAGACATTTCACATAGATCCTTTCTCAGGGTAATTCAGTTTAGGCCCCCAGAACAAACAGTAGCAGTACTGCTCCACCTGAAAATTAGCCACAGGTCTATGATCAGGGACGTGGGGCTAGTGCCACGCAGGGCGGGGAGCTAGTATCGCACCAGCATCTCCTGATACTGATGAAGCCATATTAGAAGCCACGTGTGGTTTCGCCAGGCAGAGGAAGAGAGGGTACACACCTGAATGTCACATGGGCACTGTCAGGCTCTTCGTCGCCACAGAGTCCAGGGTGGAGGTCAGATCCTGGAGGGCACACCTGGGAGCCAAGCCTTCAGCCATTTGGGCACACACCACCAGCTCCTGGCTTACTTCAAACATCAGCTTGGAGTCAAAATGGATTAAAGCCAGCCAGGATTAAAAATGGCTTCCCTTCTAGAGTGTGAGCTGGCAGTGCTCAAAAGGCTTGACTTTGAGAATTACGGCATGCACGTGGCCTAAGGACTCCCTTTGCCATAAGAGGTTTCGTGCCCCCTGAGGACACCAGGCTGTAACACAAAGAATAGAGCAGCTATTACCCAGGTGAGTGCAGTGAGCCAAGAAGGAAAAGATGACTCGAAACATTGGGAGATTCTTTTGATTCAGCCGCCCTCTAAAGGTGTGTGCTTTCTCCCTATGTCGGATTTAGATGGGAGACTTGTTTTTACACTGACTGGCCCCTAACTTAACCAGGATGGCCCTCTTCTCCTCTCCCTCATCACTGTTGCTAGCAGGTACCCTAGACCCCCCTGCCACTGTGGGCTCCTGGAACCTTCGTTTCTTCTCCATTTCCCTTCTTCCCTGAACTAGATCCCCAAGGACTCTGTTCCTGGTGCAGGAGCTGCGTGAGTGAATCCTCCCTCTATTTCTGAGCTACATTGATGGAAATACATTTTCGAGTCCCCAGACCAGAATTGTGAGCATTTTCACATAAAAACAAGGATGTTATAAAGTAGTTAGAGTCTGTGCAGCCAGTGGTACTATAATTTGGGCTCATAGGATAATCCACACACAAAAAGCCCACTTACCACAGGACACAACTGAATTCTAGAATAATGGGAGCATGGTACCTAACTTACACCCCTGAGGCCCTGTTGTCTTATGATGAATTCTAAGCTCAATCTCCTAGAGCTAGAACACGAGTCATTGTCAAGTTGAGAGTTGTCTAAATACATAAATGTTCACGTTTGCTTCCTGTGATGTACAAACTTTCAAGTTCATCCTGTTCTCCTCCCTCTTTGACAAGCCAGCCTTCACAGTGGAAGACTGTAGAGATGCTGTCCCCTCTGACTTATGAGTGTATTAGCAATCATAAAAAGGAATACCCTAGGAGGACGCATTACCAGGGAAATTAAAGTTTTGAGCTGCCGAGCACACACCTCACTGGCGTCTTGCTACCTGATGCCTCACTCTCCACATTACCATCCTGATCTCCTTCCACTTAGGTGCTCCTGGAGAGCCCAGCACCCTCTATGTAACACACCTGTTTGCCTAAGTCAGTAGCTCTAAGTCAGTGTTAGGTTCTCAGCCCATTAGATCCAATGTCTGCCTGTGATGACAAATATTGTGTAATTCCCTCTTTGCAATGCTAGAATGAAGTCACTAGGTAATAGATTTATAAATACACAAAATTATTTTTAAAGTATAATACCATAAATGCAATAAAAAGACAAGTATTTTAAGATAAAATGAATTTACTAGGTAAATACATGGGCCCGACTACTCTAGAAAATGTAATGAAAGAGGCAGAGCCTTGCATCTTCTCTTAATAAATCTTTCCTTTTCAACCACGTAAGATCAGAAGTTCCTCCACACAAGAAAAGGGAAATGAAAGAGTGGAAGTTGGAGTGGACACTTGGATAATGACTAATATCAAGAGAAGTAATACTTGCCCAGACATATTTATCTATAATAAAGGAAAGAGGAAAATTACCTTCATTAAAGTAGGGAGCAGATGCCAAGACAAATTACAGACTGTAGAAGTAGCAAAGAGGAAGTATGATATTCGTAAGAGTAGTGTCGAAATAATGACCTGTATTGTGTTATGAGATATAGCTCTTGCCTTGAAATCTCACATCTGTTAAGGCACTCATTCAGTCTCAGGTACCTTAATAAAAGACCTTTGATAGAGGCCAGAAAATCAAAGATGGATTAGGAAAAAAAAGCAGTAGCACAAAAGGCCGTGGAACACTGGCGGGGTGGATCTGCGGGGACAGTAGCAGAGTAACACGGAAACAACAGGTAACTCAGAAATAAATATATAATTTCAAAATACAAGTTTTCCCATACCGAGTTTTTATTCTGCTATCCTTAAAAGGTGCTTTAATATATCAGTCGGTGTTAGTAGAAATATAACCTATATGTCACCTATGTCCAGTGGAACATCAAAAGTCTTGTGGGAAAAGGGCCATTTATCCCACATTGGGATCCCACGTCCATCATGCCTGGCCCTCACTTCATAAATGCCAGCCTCCTTTCTTTCCCATTTGATTGTGACATGCCTCACAAATTTCCACAACTGCCTAGGAAGCAATCCTGCTGGTTTCTGAGAAACACTGTTCTACTGGTCCTCAGAGTGTTTTCATCCCTTGCCATGGCTTCTTTGATATCCTCAGAAACACTCCCTGGAGGGCTCCTTGGCGGAGACCGAGAGCAACTACTGCGCGCAGCTGGCACAGATCCAGGCTCAGATCGGGGCCCTGGAGGAGCAGCTGCACCAGGTCAGAACCGAGACTGAGGGCCAGAAGCTGGAGTATGAGCATCTCCTCGACATTAAGGTCCACTTGGAAAAAGAAATTGAGACCTACTGCCACCTGATAGATGGAGACGGAAAGTAAGTAAAGTCATTTGAAAATCCAGTTTTTACTTCTTTTAAGCTACAAACATGGGCTGCCCATTGGCCTTCCATACTTCCAAGCCCTTTCTTTTTCATTCCCACTGCAGAAAAGCATGTCTATCTCTTGCTTTTCCGGAAGAGAGTCATCTCTTCCAAATCTTGTACATCACAGTGTTCTCCTCTGCCTAAGATGACTGGAACTGTTCCTGTAGCCATTTCCATCTGTTGTCCATGTTAATCACTGTGGGTTTCAAGATTCTCTCCACCTCTCACAATCAGGCTTTATCCTTCTTTCAGTGCATACCTAATATCACTGCTGCCCTGAAATAAATGTACTCTGAACAAACCACCTGGATCCATATATATGTATGTATGTCCTTAAGTTTTAAATTTTTGGGTGTAAAAAAAAAATCAGATGGAAACAAGATTTATTTATACTCTCTCTTTAGATAACATTTAATTACTTTCAACTCCTACTCATAAAAATCTTAAGAGTTTCCTCTGTAGAAAACTAAGACCTGTTTTTGGCATACAAATTTCACTTGAGTTCATTGAGCCAATGCATATTTCTTAACTGATAGTAAGCAGAAATATAAAAGAATAAATTATATTTCTTTTACAGTTCATGCTCCAAATCAAAGGGCTTTGGATCAGGAAGCTCTGGGAATTCATCTAAAGGTAATAAAATCTAGTTCTACTTTTTTTTTTTTTTTTTTTTTTTTTTGAGACAGAGTCTCGTTCTGTTGCCCAGGCTGGAGGGCAACGGTGCAAACTCAGCTCACTGCAACCTCCACCTCCTGGGTTCAAGTGATTCTCCTGCCTCAGCCTCCTGAGCAGCTGGGATTACAAGCACCCACCACCATGCCCGGCTAGTTTTTTATATTTTTAATAGAGACAGAGTTTCACCATGTTGGCCAGGCTGGTCTCAAACTCCTGACCTCAAGTGATCTGCCCACCTCGGCCTCCCAAAGTGCTAGGATTACAGGTGTGAGCCTCCACAGCAGCCCTCTAGTTCTACTTCTATCAGAGCAATACTTTTACGTTAATGGTAGTCATACACTACAACCGTAGTCAATATTTAAGTAACTTTAACTAAACTGTTCTGAATTGGAAGTATTAAGTGCCTAAAACTATCCCAAGCTATTATTATAAATATATACTTACTCCCTCAATCAAAAATATGCATAATATATTATATTGAACTAGCAGTGGAATTGTCACATAATTTTTTTGGTTGAATGTATGTATTCTTATGTTTTATTTCTAGATTTATCCAAAACCACACTGGTAAAGACAGTGGTTGAAGAGATAGATCAACGTGGTAAAGTTCTTTCATCAAGGATTCACTCCATTGAAGAAAAGACATCTAAAATGACCAACGGCAAGACAGAACAAAGGGTTCCTTTCTAGCTGTCATTTTAGATAAAAGAAAAAATTGGGAAAGGATCCTATACAATTGTGTTATTCTAAATATCAGAGAGAATATACACACTTTTTACTTTTAAAGATAAGTTACTTAGCAAAAATATCTGTTTTCTTAGTTTTACAGGAGGTTGGGTGTTTGTTTCCAATAAATAAAAAAGTTGATGTGCATTCATTTCCATTCACTGATGACTAATAAATAATTATTTGTGATTTTTTTCTCTAATTCATAGAGAAACATTTGTGGAATATATTTTAATTGCCTTTCACTGTTGTTTTAAATAATAGTCAATACCGCCACATGGCATTTGAATATTAAACATTCACTAGGCATAATCTTTAAATCACACCATGTCTATGAGGGCAAATAATCAAAAAATTCAGAAATTCTCCTGTGACTGAAAAGTCTCACCACTAGATGACGCATTCCTGGTCCCCTTTTACCAAGAGCCTCTCTCAAACTCTTCTTTTCACAATACCCAGGATATCATTCCTCGACTAAACAGGATAATCTCCAGAAAACTCCACAGCAATACGGCTTGTGTCAGTGACACTTTTCCTAGAACAGGGGTCAGAAGCTTTTTTTGTGAAGACTCAGATAGTAAATATTTTAGGCATGGCAGGTCATACAGTCTCTATTTCAACTACAAACCTCAGCCATAGACAATAAATGAATGAATGAACATGACTGTGTTCCAATAAAACTTAATTTATTAATGCTGAAATTTGAACTGTAAATATTTTTACCTGTCATGGAATATTATTCTTAACTTTTTTCAACCATTTAAAAATGTAAAACCATTCCTAGCTCACAGTCTGTACAAAAACACATGGCAGGCCAAATTTAACCCACCAACACCTGTTCTCAAACGTGAAGCCCCATGAGGCTGATGAACATCATGATTCTTGTGATTATGACTATTTATACCTTTCTGGATCAAAATGTATGGTAGGAATTCCCAACAAGTATTAAATTGCCTAAATGGAAAGCAGCTCCTTTATTTCTCTGGTATATGGCCTGATTCCAGTGAAAATCTCCAGCAAGAGAAGGAATTCTGTCTCATAACCCCCCAGTCACATGGGATTCAGAGAAGTGGTGAAAAATGAGATATTCACAAAATCTTCAGCCAAAAGCCATCAAATGAAGCAAATACTAGAAATTCACAGAGAAATAATTTCCAAATGTACAATGTTCAGGGCCAGCTACATAATTTTCAGGACCTAGTGCCAAAGGAAATAATGGGATTCCTTATTCAACAATCAGGCAAAATGTATCACCCAAAGGCACTAAAATATCAAGCTGTTTCCTTGCATCCACATTTATGTTTTCAACTTGTCCTGGATTTTGTTGTTTTGATTTGGGGTTTTCTGTTGTTGTTGTTTTCTTTCCTTTCTTTTTTTTTTTCTTTTTTCTTTTTTTTTTTTTTTTGCTATTTAGTTTTGTTCTAAATAAAGTATATTAGTCCATTCTCACACTGCTATAAAGAAACTACCTAAGACTGGGTAATTTATAAAGAAAAGAGGTTTAATTGACTCATAGTTCCATATGGCTGGGGAGTTCTCAGTAAACTTACAGTCATGGCAGAAGGTGAAGGGAAGCAAAGACCTTCTTCACATAGCGGCAGGAAACAGAGAGTGTATGAGGGTGCAAGAAAAACTACCATTTATAAAACCATCAGATCTCGTGAGAATTCACATTATCTCAGAGAACACCATGGGGAAACCACCCCCATAATCCAATCACTTTCCTCTCTTGACACGTGGGGATTACAATTCAAGGTGAGACTTGGGTGGGGGCACACAGCCAAACCATATCATAAAGAAAATTAAAATTTTAAGTTATTGGCATAAATGTTACCATTTGTTTTATATTGAAATCCAAGCATAAGAACATTTAACTTGTATACAGAATCCCCAAGATCACACAATTCATAATTTGTAGCTCATACATGTATATGTATATTGTTCCTACCAAAACAGTGGAAATACTGCACAAAACAAACTCAAAGTGTTTTTATTTCACTTCTGTATATACCCACCTTCTACCAGCATTCTCTACCTTTGGTTTACCAATGAGTAAGAAGACTAAAAGGAAAAGGAACTATGGGTTGTTTGACCTTTCTATATCATCATTTTCCACTTAAAGAAGTCAGCAACACAGGCAAACAGGAAAGCAGTACAAAAAACTATATGATAGTCCAGGCGTGGTGGCTCACTCTTGTAATCCCAGCACTTTGGGAGTCCAAGGCAGGTGGATTACCTGAGGTCAGGAGTTCGAGACCAGCAAGGTCAACATGGAGAAACCCCATTTCTACTAAAAATACAAAAATTAGCTGGACTTGGTGGCACATGCCTGTAATCCCAGCTACTCAGGAGGCTGAGGCACGAGAATCACTTGAACCCAGGAGGTGGCGGCTGCAGTGAGCCAAGATGGCGCCACTGCACTTCAGACTGGATGACACAGCAAGATGCTGTTTCAAAAAAAAAAAAAAGTACATGATAGAGTTCCTTGGTCATTCACATTTTTTAGAAAACCAGTGTCTTCTTTCTATACTCAGAGAGCAAGTTCTGGTTTGAATGGAAAGCCTGGTTTCTTGGGTTCAATAGAAATTGGGATTACTCAGTCATAGACACAATATACTTACCTTGTACTTGCTTTGGGTTTTGTTAGATTCCTGCACGTTGTAGATCCACCAGAATGTTGGGCACACGGGCATATGTCCCTGAGACAGTAAGGAGCACCTGCAGGCAAACATACTTGGCGTACTTCTCTGCTCACTTGTATGCCCCATAGTCCCATCAGAATTCACTAACAAGAGACAGGTTAAAAAGACAAAGTTCTGCTACCATCTTGAAACTAAGATTTTCAAGATGGTAATGGGAGAGCATTAATCCAAATGTGGGGCCTTTCTGAACATGAGACCTTGTGCAACTGCACAGGCTTTATGCCCATGACGCCAGATCTGCTTATCAGGTATGCTCATGACACATTGATTTTTCTTTTAACTGTCTTCATGGTGGCCTGCTTTCCAAGGCAAGGCCCATTACAGCACAGAAAGTGCACACTACACTTTGTGGTGAGGGGACTGTTGACTTGAAAAGATAACTATAAATTCACTGCTTCTTGTTGAAAAAAAATAAACCAGAATTCCCTGTGCATCTATTCAGCAAAGGAATGGGAGTAAAATTAAATTCTGGATAAGTTTCCTTTAAGTTCTCTTGAGTCCACAGGATGGAAGGAAACATCCTGCCCTCAGTCTTTTAGGTCTTAAATCTGTCCTTCCTTCCTAGGCGTGTAAAAATTGACTATGGTCTTTGGTTCACTGTTTTCCTTTGCTGGGCAGAATTCTAGGGCTCCTGAGTTCTTTATGCATTCTGCTAATGATTACCTGTTCTTCTCCAGTCCTTGAAGCTTCACCTTGCTTTTTGCTGAAGTGTGTTTCTACATTGAAAGTACTTCCCAAAAATCACTCTCCATCTGAAGGAAAAGGAATGCAACCACTGTACTTGAGTGGTTGTTAAAGCAAAAACTACATGCTGCTATTCCTTCTTTTAACAAAAACCCAAGATTTACGGGAGCTTTTTGCAAGGGAAATAAATTGCCACTTGTTACTGGCTGTAGCAAATGTTTTGACATTTCTATTTTTCTTTTGATTTTTGTCATCATATAGGAATGTATAATTCATTGTCATATTTATAAAAATTTCCATCTTAGGTTCTGACTTTTATAACTGCTGGGACCCATGTTTTCTTCTAGTACTTTTAAGGTGATCATATGGTTTATCTGCTCCACATAATATTGAGTCATTCTCATTTCTGGTAAATAACTTCCTTGAGATATTTTATGCTATTTAATATATTATTGAATTATATTTGCTAATATTTTATTTAAGATTATTTCCAGAATATGTCTTTCTTCTGGGGACTGATTCCCCTAAATTTCTCATTTTCTGTGATTGTACCTTAATTAGTTTTTTTTCCTTTTATTTCTAATCATTTCCTAAGGTTTGTCACCTCATTTCTAAGTTTTTTCTAATTCTGGTTTATGGGGATTTTTTTTCTTTTGTCATTTTTAGCAATTTTAAGTCACTTTGAAATGGTGGGTTGTATCTTACTCAGTTTTGTAGGCATTTCTTTCTGGTATGCTTTCATTTTCTATGGGGACACTATCAACTCCTCAACCTTACTTTCTTGTATTCACATTTCTTGGGATTTTACTTCAATCCTTTTCTTTTGCTTGGTTTTATTGCCAATTCATGTTCCTTAACTTCTAGACTGAAGTATCATTCCAGGCCGGGCATGGTGGCTCACACCTGTAATCCCAACACTTTCAGAAGCCGAAGCAGGTGGATCATTTGAGGTCAAGAGTTGACCAGCCTGGCCAACATGGTGAAATCCCCTCTCCACTAAAAATACAAAAATAGCCAGGCGTGGTGGTGCACACCTGTAATCCCAGCTACTCAGGAGACTGAGGCAGGAGAATCACTTGAAACTGGGAGGCGAGTTTGCAGTGAGCCAAGACCGTGCCACTGCACTCCAGGCTGGACAATAGAGTGAGACTTCATCTCAAAAAATAATAGTAATAATAAAGTATAATTCCAAATAGCTTTACTAACTTCACAGAGTTCCCTTTTCTCTTGCTTTTGTCTAGGATTCAAAAATACATTGGCTTGATTTCTGAAATTTCCTATCTTTTTTTCCCTCCCCCACTTGTATCTAGACCTTCTGTTTCCTTCCTGTCTATGACCCTTTCCTGAATAATTTTGATTCTTCCCCCAGCAGTTTCTCCTCATCGTGGATTGCTCTCCCAGGAGGGAACCATGGCTGGTCAGTTTTAAGAATTCACAGGATGTAGGCTGTTCCATTCCCTTCTGAATTCATGGAGGACCCCTAATTTAGAGTTAAAGTTAGAACAGTTTTCTAACTAGTTTAACCCTGTTTTCTCCGTATCTTTATCTCTCATGCCACTTTCTTATGCAATTAAAACTACCAAGCAATCATTTTCATCTATTCCCATAAAGACCTCACTTTCAGAATCTCCTGTCCTCCTATGCAATATGGGCTATCTGTCTTTTAAGCCTGCTACCCAGCTGTCATGTGGCAACACTCACTCAGTGCGCTCACATTGGAGCTCCATTTCCAGGAACCTAAGTTTTCCTTTTTCATGTTTTTCTCTCTCACGGGTTCCCAACAAAATGTGCAAAGGAGATAACTTTTTT